CGACAACGACGACGACGACGACGACGACAGCGACGAAATAGGAGAGACAACGACGAAACGCCGACGAAAACGACGAGGGAGGAAGGACGACCACGGCGACAACGACGACGGAAACGACGACGACGCCAAGACGACGACGACGAGGAAGGACAGAGGACGACGACGGCGACGACAACGACGACGCAAGAGCGCGCGCGCACGCTTTTGTTGAAAACCCGTGTTGCGAAACGTTATGTTTTTGTGTGTGTTTTGGACACACCATTTTGAAATCCTTCTGGAACCGAAGGATCTTGAAGGATGTCGGCATGCGCGCGCGACGACGCGCGCGTCTGCACTGAATCATTTTTGTTGCAGAAGACTCTCGCGACGACACGCGCGCATGGGCGTTCGAAATATTTCGACATGCGCACGCGCGAAGCCCTTTTGGTAGTATGTTTTGAAAATGTTGCAAAGCCTTTGGTTTTCGTAAGATTTCGCAAGAGCGCGCGCGTAAGCTTTTTTAGAAATTCAACGTTGCAGAACCATGTATTTTGTGTGTTGTTTGGAAATTCGATTATGAAATCCTTCCGGAACCATCGGTTTTTGAAGGATTTCGGCATGCGCGCGCGACGACGCGCGCGTGTGGACTTCGTCTCAATTGTTTGCAAAGGGTTATTGGGAACTTATGTGTTTTGATAAACAAATGCGCGCGAATGGGATGGCGGGGGGGAATGATACGGGCCTGGCTGGTACAGTACGAGTTCATATTTAGGATGGACGATGGGGCAAAATTATATTTAAACGGCAATACGAAAAAGGTGGCCCGTTAATTCCGGGGGGTAATCTCTGCTCTCTTTTTGGAAATGAAAATAGACGTGGTGCAATTTATGCTGTATAGTAGGCGTGATGGCATACATGTGGTACAGGCTATGTGGCGCAACCTGTGTGGCGCAAGATTCGTGATGCAATCTATGTGTCCATATCAAAAAAGAATGACCTATGTGGTGCAACCGACGTGGTACAATATAAGTGGGGGGTTGAGTGCTGTGAGCTATGCAATGTGAGCCCCGTGGTGGATTTAGGGGGTAGGAGCTATGCGGTGACATTTGCGTGGTGGAAACTACGTGAATCAACCTATGCGGTGTACCATGTGGTGCAATAGATGTGGTACAGTCTAATTGGTGATGCACTGGTTGTGCTTCAACATGTGTGGGGCAATCTGCGGTGCGCGATTTCTATTTTGCATTACATGTTGTTCGAGAAGCATGACACAACACACACCTATATATATATATATATATATATATATATATATATATATATATATATATCTATACGTATAGATATCAATAGATTTAGATATATACAGATGGTGCCACGTACAAGGTGCAATCTATGTGGTCCGCTATCAATGTAATGTGAAAAATACGATGCGAAAGTCGTGGTACACTTCGCCCTGCCGAGCGTGAAGATGACAACTCCACTGCTCGCGCAATTATCCCACCCACCCGCCCGCTGTTTGGTTTGCAAAACCCATGCGGCGGCGATTGCGATGACTGCTCGGCGATGGCTGGCGCGTCGCCGCGGCCGCACTAACGCGCATGCTCCAGCGCGCAGCTGCCAGCTAGTTTGGCGCGGCCGACGCGGCCGCGGTGGCGCTGACCACGGATCTTTTTCACAACGGGCACTGCAATGCGAGTCAGCGACTTAGGCGGGCGCGACATCACAGCCACGCCGGCAACGGTAGACGCGATGATGATCGCAGCGATGCTGGTGGCGACGATGACAACGACGACGGCACGGCAAATGACGGCGCTGATGCGGATCACGCCGACGACGATGACGGCGTCCTCGCCTCGGTGGTGACAGTTTTGGATGAAGTTCGACACGCGCCCGCGGATGGCGCGCGAGAGTTGCGCGCATGGTGTTACTTGACACGGGCCGTGCCCCCCCAGGCACGCGCGCAAAATCGTTTGAATGATTTTAATTTGCGGCGTGAGAGGCCCGTGTGGCAGAATGTAATGGACAATGTTGGAGAGAAAAACTACAGTACTCTTAAAAGCTGCAAGACCGCGAGCGCAAGCTTTTGTAGAAACTGATGTTACAAAACCATGTTAAAACATGTTTTCGGGACACTCGATTTTGACATTCTTACGAAACCCTCGGTTGTTCGAAGGATTACGGCATGCGCGCGCGACGACGCGCGCATGTACACTTTGTCCTCTTTTTCCGCAAGGGATTTTTACGGCAACACTCGCGCAAGGGCGCTCTTGCGATTCGAGCACGCGCGCACGAGAGGCCCGTTGAGTAGCATGTTATGGAAAGTTGAAAAACGGATGGTTCTCTTGAAAAGACGCAAGAGCTCGGGCGCAGGCTTTTCTTAGAAAGTTCGCGTTGTGAACACCATGTGTGTTCTATATGTATTTCGGGACACTCGATTCTGCAATATTTACGACACGTCAGGTTGTTGAAAGATTCCGGCATGCGCGCGTGACGATGCGCGCGTGTGCACGTCGTTTCATTGTTTGTACGGAGTTTTTGGAAACTGAAGAGTTGTGATAAACGAGTGCGCGCACTGCATTTTTTGCAACAATGATGATACGCACTCATATTTAAGATGGACGATGGGGCAGAATCACAAGCGCATTGAATACGAAAAGAGGGACTGTTCGGGGGAGGGTAGATCCTATTACTTTGTTTATAAACGAGAATATATATGTAGCGTGAGCTACGTGGTGCAATCACTGTGGTGCAATCTACGTGGCGTGAGCTATGCTATGTGAACTATGTGGGGTAATCAGCGGCAACGGACTGCGGCGACGGAAACAAGAAGCGCGGTGACCGACAACCAAGCACAAAAGCAACGGCGATGGACGGCGGCGACGGGCGGCGACGGCGGCGGATCCACGGTCGGACCGACAGCCAGGCCCAGTTCCTTAGAACATGGGTATGAGTAACAACCCCATACGTTCAAGCACTGTTTGGTAAAAGTAAATCTAAGTAAATAGATCTCTACATATCTGCACATCCATACATACAGACATACATACATACATACTTATACAGTTGCATTTATACATAAAATTACATGCATATATGCATAAACAACGGCATAGCCATATACATATACAACTATGTATACATGCACACATGTACATACACATATGGGAATAATACATTTACGCACACATACATACATATACACACATACCTACACACATACTTATCCCTAAGCAGATGCATGCACGTATACATATACATATAGCTATATGTGTATACCTACACATACGCACACATACACATATACATAGCATTGTACATATACAACTGCAAATACCTACACGAATACATATACACATGCATACACATAAACATGGCATGTACATCTACATATACAATGCAAACGCATACATATGTGCAACTACATATACATAAACACATACGTATGAACATATATATACACATAGATATGCATATACATATACACATACTCATTTATATAATCATATGCATGCATACACGTATGCATACTTATATGTGTGTGTGTGATCATACACCTGCGTAAACACACATGTATATATATATATACATGCCTATGCGTGTACATATACCAATACGTGAATATACATATAAGCATACATATATACACATGCAACTGCACGTACATATACATATCCACTCTCACAAACATATAACGCATACACATACATTTACATATTCACACTAGAACCAGCGCGCGCGTATAGCGTGGCAGATGGGCTATGTCTGGATGATCGGGCCCTTGGCTTGGCAGCCCAGGCTTTGGTGTCTGAAGCCGCAGGGAGGCTTGGTATTCGGGGCAGTCCTTTGGCATCTTTGGGCAATGTGGGGGCCCACTTGGGGGCCTTTGGGGCTCTGAACCTCTCGTCAAACCACTTGGTTTGAACAAATTCGAGTTCCAGAACACAATGAAGAAGCCATGGGAATTCCTTTGGCGTTTGCAGATTGGGCCCTCTGGGGGGTGTGCGTGGGCACTCTGGTGGCCTCTTGGAGCCGTCGTGGTGCACTATTCCTCCCCCGCCCCCCGCACACGCTTCCATAATGTCGCAATGATCCAATATGTCCTGTGAGGGGACTAAGGATCTGGCGTTAGCAGGGAGCTCAACAAATGTTCTTCCTCGCAGCTCTCGGGGACATCCGCACCCGTGGCGCGCATACATGGCATACAATAGTTCGACTACTGGTCATGTCATGATGGCTGGCTGCACCCAAGACCTTGATGACCAAGTCGATGCCGAGATCGCAACTTGATGGGCGTGTAAAGCGCGAAGTCCCGGTCAAGATGTCAGAGAAGATTTTTGCCAAGACCCGTGTGGTCATGACCTGGCCATGTGTCGAATGGCAATCTCCACGTCGCCGCACGCTTGCCGACGAGTCTCTTACCATCGACCAACAAGCCATGCATGTGTATTCGGTTGGTGAAATTTCGACCAATACCAACCAACATGCAAACACACCTCAACATCCAGGTCATGCATTTATACGTGGCAGTCCGGACACATGAAAATATGGTGTCTCAAGACCTTCTTGGGACACGTGCTTCAAACCCACCAAGCCACGTTGTAGCGAATAATGGTGATGCATAATATTCAGAAGATGATCGCGCCACTCCGACAGGATGGAAAGCTCTTTGGGTAACGGATCCCCTAATGGCCGAACAGAGAACCTCCCACTCCTCCCCAGCCGACGCAAAGGCGCAGCACCCGCGGAAGATCCTCCGCCTACCTCGCCCAGCCGAAACCCCAGGGAACCCGAGGAGGGGGATTCAAGCCCTGGTTATCCAACCCTCCGACGTCGTGTCTGTTTTGCTCACGACGTTGGCCTCTCAATTCTCGGCCCAGAATTGTCTGTCGCGCATCGTCTGACGGTCCTGGGGCCGGAAGAGCGCCCACGCGACGCCGGAACAACTCCAAAATGGTCCCGTTGGTATTCTTTTGCGACGCCTCGAGGCCTGGGTTACCCCCGCCGGCGAGGGGCAAGGCCTTGGGGATCATCTTGTCGTACTCGGAGCTGCCTGGGCGTTCCGTCCCCTGCTGTCGGAGGACCCTGCCGAGGGCGACCGCGCGGGCGGGCGGAATTCGGAGGGAGGGGAGGGGAGAGAGGGAGGAGGGATGGAGGGAGGGAGGGAGGAGGAGTTGGAGGAGGAGGAGGCCGAGGAGGAAAGACAGCGTAAACCCAAGAGCCATCAACGACGTTGGAATAAAACCTCCCTCCAAGCTCCCTCTTCACAGGCCCCTACAATGCTTCATACTGCCTCGTTGGAAGACAACCGCATGAAGACCCTGAAGCATGCCAAAACATTGTTCTCGGGATTCCAATGCCATGGATCAACCTGTCTCTTGCGTCTTGGCGATCTGAATCATGCCAGAACGCCTTTTCCTGGGACTTCAACACCGCGAATCAACGTAACGGTTGCACCCTCATAACCCTGAATCCTTCCAACACCCTGTCTGGTACGCTCATCATGGGAACCCGTAGGACTCTTCCAAAATTGAACAACGAATGTGCGCGGCGCTAAGGCGAGAGCCGAATTTTGAAAAGGAATCGCCCTCAAAATGTGAAGCCCTTGCAAATGTGTAAAGCGAACGCACGCGGCGCTAAGGCGAGAGCCACATTTTGAAAACTTGCCGCCTCAATCCGCGAAGCTCTTGCCGTTTTTCTTAACAAATGCGCGCGGCGCTAAGGCGAGAGCCGCACTTTGAAAACGGGCCGCCCGCAATCCGTTAAACTGCTGCCAACGTTGAAGCTTCAGGGTCATGATTGGTGAGGAAATCTCAGGCGAAACGCCCAGACCGTCCTAAAAGCTGGCCTCGGGGTGCGACAGCGAGAAAGTATTGATAAGGAAAAGGAATGGAGGGGAAAGAGGAGGATGATGAGGAGGACGAGGACGAGGACGAGGACGAGAAGGAGGAGGACGAGCACAAGGCAGAGGAGGAGGAGGAAGAGGAGGAGCAGGGGGAGGAGGAAGAGGGAGGAGGAGGACGTGGAGGAAGAGGTGGTGGAGGAGGTGGAGAAGGAGGAGAAAGAGAAGAAAAAAAGAAACCCAGAACTGGGCGCGTCGCGGCGCATCGGCTGCAATCCGCCCTACCAAGCCTTTCTTACTGCGCGCCTTGGTGGTCTCGACCTGGATCGCAGAGATGTCCTTCGCAGCAGCGAGGACGTGGATGCGCTCCGTGCGGCTCTGGAACAGCTCGGGGCGCGCCATGGTGGCAACTTCGCCAACCACCGTTCTGCATGCTGCGGCTTCCAGGGACGAGCTGCTGATACGCATGGCCAGCTGGCAGCCGTTGCGCCGCACGGCTCGGGCAGCTTGCCTGACTATGATGAGCTGGGAGACCATGTCGACGACGTCAGTAATTCGCATTAGATGCATCACCAGCGAAATCGCGTCTACTATTAGTTCTTTGAGCCGTAGGAGCTCCAGCGGCAGTGACTTCTCAATACGCGAGGTATCTTCGAACTTGACCAGCTCCGCGAAGGTCGCGGTGCACTCGGGTTTCTGGTAAGCCTCAGGTGGGAAGTTCAGCCCTGCGCGGGGTCGCACCACCCAGAGCTGGATGACAATATTGAGCGCGGCGTGGTCGGACATGGTGCGGTCGCGAAGTTGCTCGGGTGTGCTGATGACGGCGCCTGTGAGACTCAGCTGGTTACTCATCCACGCGAGCGCAGCTGTCCAAATCCGATCGAGGCTAGACACGCTGCCCGTGTCATTACAAAAGTGGGCGGGGTCGTTGGCAGAGAGTTCCCCCAACTTGTCGAGGACCTGCTTCCAGCGCGCGACGTGGCGCTTGCGGCCAGCGTGCTTCTGGCGGGGAAACTGGCGAGCTGGTTGTCGCAGATCCAGTTGTGAGAAGCCCGCGAAGATCATGTCCCCAGCGATGATTGGCGGGCGCTTGCCTGAGCGGCTCGTGCCTAAGCAACGTCAGCTTCTAGCGCCCTCGTGATGTCATGCATCTGGCGCAGCGAAATGTCGCCGTTGTGGATGTCGCAGCGGCGCCGCTCGGTGCCAGCCATCTTGACAGCGACCCTCGACACTCTCCCCCACGCAAGGATGGCGGCCTTCGCCGCGCGGGCCGCCGTCGCAGATAAAGGCATGATCGCGGCGACGCCACCCTTCTGGCGCCCCCCCGCGCGCTCGCAAAGCTGAAGATTTCCGAGCGCGGGGCAATCGGATGCACGAGCGTTTGTATGTGCTGCTTGCTTTGGTGGGCCTCCTGGAGAGCAACGATCGCGCGCGGGAGATCGCGTTTTGTGAGAGCCATGCTGCCACGCCAGCGGAGAAGTGCCCGAGCGTTCCACGTCGCGAACAAAATCCTTCTTTTTCTCGGTTGCCACCGAGGGCGCAGCCCCCAGGTCGACCTCGCGCTGCAACTGGGGGAACTTCCCAACATCACCAGACTGGTTGAGCACCGGAGCAGACGATGGGGTGGATGACGTCGTGCATCTGGGCGCGCGCGCCCCTTCTACTGGAGGCCCTCGGCGTTGCAGAAGACGGCGGTGGGACCGCGCCCTGGGCAAGGCTGGAGTCGATGCAAAGGTGCTCATCCTTCCGAGACCCGCCCTCTGCTGCGGTCGAAAAAATTGGCCGCAGCATGCGTCTCGCGAAGTCGTGTCAGAAAGCGCCCGCCCTGGATTTCAGTGCGGATCTGGCATGGTGAGTTGCCTGGTCTGGCGCGCAGTTGCGTCGACGGGCCCTCGACGGTGGGGGTCGGGAAGCGGGCCCAGCCATCCTTGCCCTTGAGCGCGCCCAACGCCTGCTGCACTCGGCGCGCGGCGATGCCCACGGCGCAAGTGAATTGGGCCGCGGACAATTTAGACTGCGGCTCTCTCTCGATGCGGCAGATGCCGACCAGATCGAAGTCCCTGAGCCAGGAGTCCAGAGACTGCGAGGATGCTTCGCGCGTTACCACGGCGCAGGCTGTGACTTTGAGAATCGTCGGTTCGACGTCGCGTTTGAAGCTCCCGTCGGAAGAATTGGGCGGTGGCGGGGCGCGGCTGGCGAGCGCCAAGTCCTTGCGAAGCTGCTCCTTCTGCAGCTGAAGGTCGGCAGGCTGCTTGTCATGGTTGTCCAGCGTCTTGCCGCGTTCGCTGAACCCTGTGTTGAATCTGATCAGATGGCCCTAAATTCGCTTCTCGAGGTCGTCCAACTGTTCGGGCAGTCGCCGCTGCAGCGGCCTCGCCAGGGGCCGCTTTGATGGAGTCTGTGAGGCGGCGGAGGGCTTCGCCGGTGAGAGCCACGGCGGCTTGGGTAGCAGCGGCAGCAGTGTTCGAGATGGCGAGCTCGCACTCCTGTCTGAACTGACCGAAGGACTCTCGGATCCCGATGCGGATGAGCTCGCGCACGCGGTCGTCGTACCAGTTTTCCAACGCCAAGGCGTCGGAGCCGTCTCCATCGCTGTCAGGCTGTCAGCGCCACTGCCTGAACGGTGCCTGCCTGTATATTCGTCGCCTCCATGAGCAGCACCAGCAGCAATGCCATCAGCAAGTGGTTTCGCCTTCTTCTCTTATTGTTGCCAGTATCTTGGTAATCGTATTGTCCATGTGATATTATTACTGGTTTTATGATTACCATTATCATTACGACTGCTATCATGTTTATTAATACCGTTATTATTATGCGTCTTCTTCTTCTTGGCGTCTGATCCCTTCGGGTTCCATCGGGCATGGACACGTCTCAGCGTACTAGCGGCTCTGGTGAGAGTGCCGACCGCCGTGCAGGCTGCGCGGCCGAACACGTCCCCGACAAGGGTGTAAATGGAAGGAGGCTGGCCGCGTCCTAGTGGTATCCACTTTGACCTATGGGGGGGGATCGGATCAGATTGAACCAAAACGGCTGCGGAGGAAAAGGAAGATGACCAGTGTAAACCTAGGACGCATCAGCGATGTTAGAATGAACCCTCCCTCCAAGCTCCCTCTTCGTAGGCCCCTACACGGGTTCATTTCCGCCAGGGAAGTGCCCCGCTGGGAGACACCCATTGGAAGAGCTTGAAACGCGCCTAAACGCCATTCTCGGAATTTCAGCGCCACGAATGAATCTGACCGTTCCGTTTTGACGATCCCGAATCGTGCCGGATTACCATTCCTGGGACATCAACACCGCGAATCAACGTAGCTGTGGCGCCCTGACAATCCTGAGTCGATCCGGAACACCATTTCTGGTACGTTAGCCATGGGACTCCGCGAAAAACTGCCGATTTCTTCAGAAGGATGCACGCGGCGCTGAGTCGAGAGCCACATTTTGAAAATGACCCTTACAACTTTGTAAGACAAGTGTGCGCGGCGTTAAGGCGAACGCCCGCATTTTGGAAACGACCCGCCATCAAATCGTAAAACTCCTGCACATACTTAAGACGAATGCGCGCGGCGCTAAAGCGAGGACTACATTTTGAAAACGAACCGCCCTCAATCCGTGAAGCTCTTAAAACGAGTGCACGCGGCGCTAAGGCGAGAACCACATTTTGAAAACCACCCGCCATCCATCGGTGAAGCTGTTGCCAGCATTTAAGCTTCAGGCGAAACGCCCGGCCCGCCCCTCCGACTGGCTTCGGGGCGCGTTAAAGAGGAATATCTATAAGGAAGAGGAAAAGAAGAGAAGGAGGAAGAGAAGGAAGAGGAGAAGGAGGAGGAGAAGTAGAAGAGATTGAAGACGAGGTGGGAGGAGGCGACTTTGATTACCTTACACAGCTGTGCTCTAGAACTTGACTCGACACCCTGTGTTTTGGTCGTCGTCGTTGTTGTTCTTTTCTGCCTGGCCGCGCCTCCCTGGCCTGCTCGAACCTCCCTGGCCTCCGGGAATTCTGTCCTTGTCTCCTTCGGCCCGCCCCCGTGACACGAAGCTGTGGCCATCGCGGTCCCGCCTGTTCCCTGGCCCCCGACCGCCCGCCCAGCGTGGAGCTGTATTTTCGTGTCGTCGTTCGTCGTCCAGCCTGGCACGCGTCGATCCCGCTTGGTCTATGGCCCTCAGTCCCCTCAACCCCCCACGGCCAGGAGCCATTTGTTCGCAGTCGTCGCCGTCGTCGTCGTCGTCGACGTTGTCGTCGTCGTTG